ACGACACCGATTGAAATTCAACAGCAAGCTCGTTTTTCTCCACTTTACGGACTCAGATAGGTCCGCTCTGGTAAATTGGCTTAATCCATTTAAATTCAGCAATAGCAAGATCATCGTGTGGGGTGATCGTTAGGTTTTGGGGTTACCGTGAAGGGGTAACCATTGCGTGTGCTAGAATTAGGATTACTTGCGATTAATTAAGTATTTGTTCTTTTAATTTAAAGTGCTTGTTATTCCTTGGTGGACGTAGCGTTTAGGTTCATTATTACCTTTGCTAATAATTAACAAGACATTACCTTATCACATTTCCCAATACTACTTCGTGTGGTTTAATTAGGGTGTTAACCAATGACAACACATAATTTTGATTTGGGAATTTTTAACGGTAAAGGGGACTTCTCTATCTGGCAACAAAAGATGAGAGGCATACTAGTCCAACAAAAGGTGTCAAAAGCTATCGAAGGCAATTTTGCACCTGATATCTCAAAAGAACAAAAAGAGGAAGCCGATGAGCTTGCCTATACCTCAATAATATCACACTTGTCTGACGCCGTCTTAAGAAAAGTGGGAAAACTAAAAACTACCAAAGAACTTTGGAAAAGACTAGAAGACTTATACTTGCTTAAATCTACACCGAATAAACTCTACCTACTCGAACGATTCTTCAGCTTTAAAATGGACCCTTCAAAGGATCTCGACGACAATCTAGATGTGTTTAATAAATTGGTGCAAGATATTGTCAATTGTGACGAAGCCGTGTCTAAAACCTATAAGGCCATTATCTTGCTCAATTCAATCCCGGACTCCTATAAAGAAGTTAAAAATGCTATTAAGTATGGTAGGGACACGCTAACACCTGAAATTGTCGTAGATTCTCTTAGAAGTAAAGAGATGGAAATGAAGGCTGAAAAATAGGATAGGAGGAGCTGTGGAGGTACAGGGCATTTTATAAAAGACTGTCTTAAAGAAAAAGGAAAAAAGAAGGTTAAGGAAAGAGATGAGGTAAATGTGTTATCCTCTACCTCCGATACTGAAAACGGTGAAGTCTATGTGATCACTAGTCCAGTCGCATACACTACTGAATTAAACTTAACAACTAATTCTCACATGCATGAATGGATATTAGATTCTGGTGCGTCTTTTCATGTGACATCTGAAAAGAACTGGTTTGAAAACTTGCAAG